CACATCCATGACCCGGCTGTACTACAGGGAGGCGTCAGCCTGCGTCATCATGTTCGATGTCACCAACGTCAGCACGTTCAGCAACAGCCAGAAGTGGAAGCAGGATCTGGACAGCAAGCTGCTGCTGCCGGACGGGAGCCCCGTGCCCTGCCTGCTGCTGGCGAACAAAGTGAGCGGCTCCGGACGCGCTCCGTGCGTGTGTGTGTGCGCACGGGGGAGCACGGGGGTGCAGAATGGAAGGAGAGCCCTGAGCACTAAGCCTTGCCCAGAGCTGTCCCACAGCCTGCGCTCTTTTCAGTCCTTTCCGTAACTCTCCGGGCATTTTCTCTCTCTCGCAAGGGTTCTCCTCCATAACTGGGATGTTGGTCGGATTTAATGCGTGGATGGCACTACGGAGATGGTCACAACTGCTCTGTCCCTTGTGCTGTGCTGTGGGAGCTCTGTAGCTCCTGGATTACAAAGCTTTTCTTTTTCTTTTTTGGTCTTTAACTTGCAGCAGCCCGGGAAGGCTGTGTGTGATGCTGCAGGGAAGGTTTCTGCTCCGCGCTGCCGGAGGGATGTCTAGTTCTCTGTGTCAAGTTGCACTGTGTACATTGGTTGCTGTCTTTTAATTATTTCTTTTTCTTTAATTTAAAAACCACCTTTGTGTTCTTCACGGGCCAACGTTGGCTCGGCAGCCCTTCCAGATTCAGTTTGAGACTTGCCTGGTTTGGGAGAGCCTGAAACTGGGGATGACTCAGAAGCGTGATGGGTGGGCAGGAGAGCGGCTTTTCTCCTCCACTCCACCACAAATAATGCTGTCCCCGGGTGGCTGTTCTACGGTCACCGTTTTGCCCGCAGCAGGGAAATCTGTGTCCGTACCCAGGGCAGCCACACCAGTCCGAACTCTCAGGGGACAGGTTTTCTCGCCATCTTTCCGTACATCCCATTAGCATCAGCGTGGCCACCTCGGTGACACCCCACCGGTGACAGACCACACGGGTGACACCTTTCCTTGCTGTTCAGGCACCGGGCGCATTTTGGATGAGTGACGGTGCTTTCTTGTCCCGTGCTGGATGTGCCTCCATTCCGTGCGTGCCTGGCTGAGGCGTGGCGGTATCTCAGATGAGATAAACCTATTGCTGCTTGCAACATCCCTGTAGGAACCGTGCCCCAAGAGCTCGCTATCAGCTCGCGATCTGGGGGATGTGAAGGGCTGAGCTTGCCTCCTGCCTGCTGCCTGCCTGCACGCGGGCAGTAAATGGCTGAGGGGGAGGATTCCCCTCCCAGCTTAAAAGGCTGAACTTAAAATTACTTTTTTTTTTTACAGTGCGACCTCTCCCCATGGGCAGTGACAA